ACCATGACCCAAGCCGAAGGCAGACGCTTAACGACTGAGCCACCCAGGCGCCCTGGGTTTCTACTTTTCTAACAAGATCCGCATGATGCCGATGCTGCTGGTCCATGGAGCACACTTTGAACTGAAGACAGGTCTCTAAATGATCGTGGAAGGAGATGCACAGTGTGGTGAGCAGAAAATCAACATAACCATGAGAGAAGTTCTACCCTCCAACCAAGAGCTATCTTGACCCTCCACCCCTACACAAGGTCACTTCCTAGAAAACCCTGCAATCCAAGTCCCCTTTAGCAGATAACTCCCCCATCTCTTTCTTTGACTCTTTTCCAAAAACATGGGCTAAAGTATCCACAACTGTACTATTTTGAGCAGCTACTTTGATCTGACTCAAGACTGGTTCCTTTTTTTTTTTAAACCATCATTCTGCATCTCTCCCAGTCCTTCAAATTTAGTGATCACCAAGAACAGTTTACCAATGGATTGATTATTGAAGAAAGTAGTCTCTCCCTGAAAACAAAGTAATGTTGCACATAGCATTTGAGAGTAATAGTTAATATTTGCTTTAGATTTAGTTCCAGGCAGTTTGTGATATTTCAAAAGTTAACCATCTGTGTCAGGGCTCTACCTCTTTTAATTATCAGAGCCAGACCAATTCCCTAATGTCAAGCCCTTACAAATTGGCTGAACCAAGATGTAGGTTCTCCTCCACCCACCTGCTCCATGTCATACCTAAGTTCAAGTAGGTGGAAAACTTCCAGATTTCCTCCATGGTCTTGAAGGTGATAAGGAACTGAGCCTTCTGGGACTGGATGCCCACCAACCTGGCTGAGAGGTCCTAGGTAAAGAGAACAGTGAGTCAGCCTGGGATGACCGCATCCTGTTAATAATCTCAGAGAAGTGCAAAATGCTTCATGTGATTTTCTTGATTGTAGCGCTGGGTTTTTTTACACCAAAAAAAAAAAATAGAAAAAAAAAGGAAATAACCTAAATGTCCACCAATAGGAGACTGGTTAAAATGAATGCCGATTCATCCATGCAATAGAATATTATGATATTATGCAGCCATAAAAAAGAATGAGGAAATTCTTTGTGCACTGATGCAGCCTTCAAACATACACTGCTAGATGGAACAATAGCAGCAACAGAAAGGAACCAGGATGCAGAACTGTGTGCAAAGAACTCTACCTTTTGTGTTCAAAAAAAAAAAAAAGGTGTATGGGAGAAGGTGAAGGATAAATAAGAGAAGGCACGTTGGAAGTAAGTTTGATTGTGAATCTATGTCCAATGATTACTTTTATAAAGATGACAAACAGAAAAAGCAAATTACACAAAAACAAAAATCATCCATAGTCCCTCCTCCTAGAGCTCATCAGTGTTAACACTTCAGTGTATTAACTTTGAATCCTTTTTCCTATGCAGGAGTTTCAGTGTAACTGTTTTTATATAAATAGAATCACATTACATAAATTGTTCTATAATCTTTTGAAACTAAACAATATTTTGGGAACCATCTCCTACATCATTAAACAATTTACATTATTTTCAATGGTTATATATGTCATCATTACATTAACATAATCCTTAGTTAGTATTTCCTATGGTTAGACGATTGAGTTATTTTCATTTACCATCCTAAACACTACTGTGATAAACATCCTCAATCTTTGTACACATCTTTGATGTTTTGACACAAGTCATTCTGAGAAGTGCAGTTGGGAATGCAGATATCCACATTTTAAATCCTAAAATGCAGGAGCCATACTGCCCTCCGGAAAGGCTGGGTGGTGCCAATTTGCATGCTCCCCCGCTCCCTTTTTTTTTTAATACCTGAGAAAATAGGCCTGACCTACTGTACAGACTTGGTTTTCCCCTAAAATCTTTCTCTGTTGCTTGTCCAAGCTTCTAGAGTTGACTACAATGAGTGATGGTCAGAACATCCTTCGTCCCCCAGGCCAGGTCCTGCGATCAAAGATCAACCCCTGGAACGCTGCTCTGGGGGAACCCTGTGGAAAGAAGAAGAGGATAGAAAGAGAGGAAGGAAGAGAGGAAGAGCCCCTAGGTCAGCAAAGCCAGAACTCTGGGGTTCTCCCATACCAGGCTCCAGGAGTCCCCAGAGCCTATTATCAGGGAAGGGGTTCTAGATAAAAACTGATTTCTGGAGATTCATCAATTGACAGGCACTTCATCAACCTCTGACCAATGCTTCATTTAACTCACAATAACCCTATGCAGAGAGTACAATTACACTATTTAATCCATTCTAAGATGCACTTTTACCACATTTAATTATTTCTGAAATAAAAGATAAGGAAGCATGGCATCCTACTTAATTGGCTGCATTTATTTCCCTTTCTTTGAGGTATATAAAATATTGCTGCATTTTATAATCAAACGGCATCTCAGCTTTAATAGAAAATGGCATTGTCCATGTGTTATAGTCAAGGAGGACCAGGCACAGACAGGTTAAGCAATTTGCCCCAGGTGACCTGAGTGTAGGCGATGGCCCCCCTGACTGGAGCCTAGATCCAGCTGACTCCAGGTCTCTGCTCCCACACGCAAGCTGGCCCGGCTCCACCCTCAGCCCACCAGACCACCTGGCTCAATCAAACCCAGCTCTTGCGCACGCCAAAAGTGCCTCAAATTTTAAAAAACGATGGTGCTAGTTAGCAGCTCATGCCTCCAAGTTTCTGAATTTCTGGAAACTAAAAATAAAAGAACCCTACTATTTATAATTTATCTGCTATTTAGGAAGCACATACCACCACCCAAGCAAAGTGCCAAGCTCTCTACAGATACCTACTCACAGGCTCCTCCCGACAAACTAGGCTTTTTTTTTTTTTTACATGACAGGTTAATAGAACACATTTCCCTTTTTAATTTGTATCAAATTAATTCAGAGACTGTAAAAATAACTAGAACATAATAGTTTATTACATGAAGTAATATCCTTTTTCTCCCCTCTAGTTGCAACAACTTTTAACCATTTCTGACTTTGGTTCTCTTCAGAAGTCCCTCCCAGGGGACACCTGGGTGGCTCAGTTGGTTATGCATCTGCCTTCAGCTGGGGTTGTGATCCCAGGGTCCTGGGATAGAGCCCTGCGTCAGGCTCCCCGCTCAGCAGGGAGCCTGTTTTTCCCTCTCCCTCTACCTGCCGCTCCTCCTACTTGTGCTCTGTCAGATAAATGGATAAGTTCTTAAAAAAAAAAAAAAAAGAATCTCTCCTAAACTGTAAATAATTTGGTCTTACCCTTCTTCCTTGGTTTAACAACTGAAGATACTAGCTACCCACTATGAAAGCAGGAACTGGTTTATTTACTTGATAGCCTTTTTCTCCTCTCATTCTAAAATTTATAGTTATTAATTTTTTTTATTTGAGAGAGAGAGAATGAGAGACAGAGAGCATGAGAGGGAGGAGGGTCAGAGGGAGAAGCAGACTCCCTGCTGAGCAGGGAGTCCGATGCGGGACTCGATCCCGGGACTCCAGGATCATGACCTGAGCCGAAGGCAGTCGCTTAACCAACTGAGCCACCCAGGCGCCCTATAGTTATTAATTTTTGATTGGCAATTTGGGTACATAAAAAAAAGTATACTAGTGGTGAAGGAAGGGGATGGGAGGGGCTTATTGTATAATAGATACAGAGTTTCAGTTTGGGATGATGAAAAGTTCTGGAATGGATAGTGGTGATGGGTGAATAACAATGTGAGTGCATTGATGCCACTGAATTGTACACTGAAAATAATTAACGTTGAAAATTTATGTTACGTCTATTTTATCACAATGAAAAAAACAACAAAATTCCAATTTACCACATTTTTTTTTAAGCTCTACTTCATGAGGTAAATAATCAACAATTTTCATCCTACACAGGTGAGTCACTTGTAGAAGGTCAAACAGCTATGAGTGGCAGATTTGACACTGTTTTTTCTCTGACTCTGCAACTCCAGAGTTTGCCCCCTTCTGAGTTGTGCCTGTTCTTGCTGAGCAGCAAATGTGTACATTTTCATTCATTCTTTCCTTCCTTCAGCTGTTTTCGTGAGGGCCTACTCTGTTCCTGGAGCTGTCCTAGGTGCTGGCGAGCCATGCGGCGGCCGGACACAAGGCAGGCTCAGAATTGCACCCGGCCACCCCAGCTCACCTGAAACAGGGCACGCACCTCCTGGTCCTCATTCTCCAGGGCCCAGAGCCGCCTCCTAGCTGCTTCCTGCAGGAGGCCGTTTACACACCTCCGGGAGCGGCTCTTCACACTGAAGGACAGCGTCAGATCTTAAAGAGAACACAGAGAGAAATGCAATCAGGTCAGGCTGGAAATGCAACAAAAGAGAAAAAAGAATTAGGTGAACCCCAATGTTTCCCACACCTAAATCTTAAATTGGTGTCCTCATTAATTAGAGATTATAAGTAATCTTAAAGATCTCCTAGGTACCTCCTTTAAAATGTCCCCCAAAAGAAAAAAAAGAAAGAAAGAAAAGGCTGAAACCTGGGAGTGTTCCGGAATCCCAGGAGTTGCTGTTGTTATTTCTGCTTTGAACAAGGTATGTTCCTAGGCTTCCTGGCACTGAGGTGACAGTGCCAACAAGAAGAACTAGACATGTATATCTTCCTGTGGATGATTTGTGAAAGTTCTGAACAAATACTAATTTATCCATATATATGGAAATTATTTATATGTCAAATTTATGATATGTAATAGTCTATACTTTATGCATTATGTATACACCATACATTTTCTCTAAACTGTTTCTAATAATGAGTTTATTAATGTTTGCCAGGGTAGTTGCTTAATGTATTAAAGTTTATATTTAATTTCTTCAAAATGCACGTTTATTTAACCAATACTATGAGCAAAAGCTGTTTCAGGTGCTGGGATACAGCAGGAAACAAAATAGAGGTGGTCCCTGTTCTCATGGAGCTTGTATTCTCTGCAAGTAATCAATTCTATGAACATAATAATTTCGGATGGAGAAAAGTGCTAAGAAAGCAATGTAATTGGGTTAACAGACAGCATGATGGAGCAGTGCAAGGGGCAGGGGTATGCCTTTGGACAGTATTGTTGGAAAAGGCCACCCTGAGGAGGTTCATCTTACAATTGCACTTTGCCACGTCTTCTTTAGACAATAAGTAGCTATCGTGTTAATAATTATCAAATACAATGAACCAAACAGGCATTGGACTGGATAATCATGGAGGTCTCTCTTCTAGCCCTAACTTGCCAGGGACTTTGCCAATCCCTGAGCCCATTAAAGACAACCCCTCTCCTGCTGGGCCGTGGTAACACAAGGCAGCCTGGGCTCCCACATTTAAAAGGCCCCTTTTTAACCTAGAAGTCCTGAAAATGCTGTGGCTTCTGGCCAGCTGCAATAGGACATACTCCACCGACCTGACATGGGTGTGAACTGCGGGCAGATGTTTGTTCCACTCTCTTCCTCCCTGGCCTGTGTTCTAACCTCGGCCAAGCCCTCCATCTTCAGCTGTCCGACCCAGCCCTCTGTCTGGTAGCCTCAGCGATCAGCACACTGACCTCTAGGAGGAGGTGAAGCTCAGGGACCTGGGCTCAAGGCTTGGCTCTGCCCTCGCTCACTGTACCATGCTGAGCAGTCAATGACCTCTCTACACTTGACTTTTCTCATTAGCAAAATGAGAATAGTACCTAATTCACGGGGCTTTTAAGAGGCTTACAAATGAGATTATGCATTTAAAGCTTTTTGTTCGGTGCCTCCTACACAATAAATATTCAATTAACACATGAAGCATTAGCTGTTAACTCTACTGCTCCCTCTGCCCTCATCTTGTCACACCTGTAATCAGCCTTGACTCTGACTGGTTCTATGACTCCTTTTCACCAAACCCATCTCTCCTGTCCTTCCAAAGCCTGATCCAAACTCCCTTCTAGAATCTCTCACAATAGCCCCCAGTGAATGACAGCCCCTTCGGTGTGGCTCTCCTTGTCCGCATGTGAATCCACGGATCTGTCACTCAAAAGACCTGGATTTAAATAAGCAAACTGCCTTTGAGAACTCCACAGTTAAGAGCTGCCACTCAGAGCCTCCTGTCTGGGCCCCCTGTGGGATCCTACAGTGCCCTCAGCAGACCAGACGAGGGAATAAATCAAGTTCACTCCAGTGTTAGTATGAAATACACTCTGACATTTTTTCTAAGTCCTTCTGAAAACCAGTCGTTTATTCACGCTAATGTATCTGATTGATTTTGTTGGTGACTCTTCCATATAAAGGAGAGATTGGAGCCTGGGGTGGAATGTTCCCTTCTCACTCAGTGACTTTCCTGGAAACAGTTCATCATGGTGGAAAACGTAAAAGACAGACAAGTTCAGCCCCTCCTTTGTTCATTGGCCTTCATGCACTGATAAGGCAAAATGCTGACTGCACTGCATTCAAGAAACAACAGGTGGTGAGTCACCTTTTGTCTAGGACAGCCCAAGCTAACAGACAAAGAAGCAGACTGATATAAGAACAAGAAAGGGCAAGGTTTTTCTCATGGCCAGCCCAGCAGTTTGACCGAATCTGAAAATGGGAAAAGAAAGAACCTGGTATGACATGTAAACACCATCCATTTACCTGGTCTATGTCCTTTGAACCATTCTTAATGTAAATCTTTTTCACAAATCTATCGTTTGTCTGCCCGAGAGAAGTACATGTTTGGAGGGGCAATGAAGCATCGTGGCTATGAACAAAAACCCCTGTCTCATCACAGACTAGCCGTGTGGCAGTGGGGAGGCTTGCCTTCCTCTCTGAGACTCTGCCACCTTTGAAATGGGGAGTTTGGTGGCACCTCCTAGAGGTGCACACGTGAGAATGAGAGGTGATCATTTAGCACCTGCTTGGCACACGATTTGGCCCCCAAAATGGTCCCTGTTACTATAGGACAGATGCTGGGTCTTCTTCGGGTTAATCCCCAGAGCTTCTGGCACAAAGTTCAGCCCAGGTATACCACCCTCTGCTGCCAACGTCTCGCCAGCTCCGTTGAGGTCTCTTACCGGGAACCTTGTGAAAGTTGTGTCTCGAGAATAGGATTTCTTTCATGTTAATTTCAAAATCTTGTTCTGCTTCTGAAAGATTCATACAGGTGCTCTTCTGTTCGGCCCATCTCACCCCACATATTCAACCGTTTATTCACTTATGCATTTACTTAACAAGTGATTATTGAGAACCTGCTATGTATAAGGTACTGTATATAGAATACGAACGTGACCTCCACATATTTATTCAACAATTTGTGTATTTATTTACCAAACATTTTCTGAAAAACCAGCCATGTACACATAACTCTTTAGGATATCATGTAGAATAAATACATAAGTCTTCCAAAAAATTACCTCTGCCCTCCAGCACCTTAAAATTTAATTGATGATATACTTTCTTCAGTAGAGCAAATATATATGGAGTTCCTAATATGTGCCAGATTGTGAAGGGCTTTGAGTGTTCACCTGAGAAGCTTTAACTTAATCTTGCAGGCAATGGAGCGCATTGGAAGATTTGTAAGCAAGTGAATACCACAGTCAAGGTCATGCCTACAAAGATGCATTTGGTGGTGGTGCCTAGAAAGGATAAAATGAAGGGAGCCTGTAGATGGGAGAGATAGGGAGGATACTGTGGTATTCTACATGAAAAATACTTTAAAAAAATAGGGCTTCTCTTTGGGGTTTAGATACCTGGAGTCATGTTCTGTGGCAGGAAACATCTTTCCTTGTCTTCAGATGAGACTATAAACTCACTTGATATGGTTGGATCCTTGGAAGGAGTTTCTTTACCTGGAGGAGATCAAATGAAAGATCATTTGTATGAGTGTAAGCAAGATATAAGCATGGACTGCAAGTTGCTGTCAATTGACAATTTTTTCTCCAGGGCAGGTGGCACGGAAGAATTCTCCCTGCTATCACCAATTGCCTAATAATTATTTTGTACTCAACTGTTATCAAAGACCTGTCATACCTGCTATCTCAATTCTGCAGTAGGCTGAGTATCCCTGTTTTATTTAAAATAAATAAATAAGACAGAGTCCCACCCACAGGGCAGACTGAGTCCCACAGCTGAGGACACTGAAAATGCTCAATATACGTTGAACCTAAAATGTCATTATAGATCTGACTGCAGCAAAGTTTAAGGTCAATGGGTAGATAACAGAAGTGTTGGAGTAGAGCAAGGGAGGGTGGCATCATTAGGGAGATGGCTGGTCATGCTTGTAATGGACTTGAAATATACTGATGGTCACCAGACTGTTCGCCCCTAAGAGTCCTCTATGGGACTTCTCCTCAGATCTCCAAAACGTTCCTGTCTTTGCCACTGTCAAATTGGAGCGAAAAGGAGAAGAAAGAAGATCATGGCACAGGCTAGGCTTAGGGAGGAGGCTATTTTGATGGCAGAGAGTTGAGAAGAGAAGAGAAGAAGCTGTAAAGCACGAGGCAGTAGATAAAAGAATAGAAGGAAATTTCACAAGCATCACTATGAAATGTGGGCCTCCCTCGTGGTATCCCCAAAATACAACAAGAGAACTCAAGTCTGTAACACATTACTTTTGTTTACTCTGTTCCTTTGACCATGGAACATGCTTCTCAAACTTTCATGTGTGTATGAATGGCCTGAGGATATTGATAAAATTTAGATTCTGCCTTGGTAGGTTGAAGGCCTAAGGTTCTGCATGTCTAATGTGCTCCGGGGTTGGTGGGGGGGGGGGTGCTCCTGCTGGTCCCATGATCTCACCTGGAGTGGCTGCCTCCTTCCCTACTCTACGACAGTTTGAAAACTGATAGGCTAGAGGCCAGAGGCCATCACAAACCCACAAACATCATTTTTATTTTTCTTTCTTTTTTTGTTCTTTTTTGTTATTCTTTTTTTCTTTTCCCCAGCAGTGAATTTTTAAAGTTCGAATTTGAGTTGCTTGACATCACTCAGAAAGTGGGATATTTTACATAACCCAGATGCTTGGCTTTGCTTTGAAAACGGGAAGATCTGTAGTTCGGGGCCCTCATTCTCATGTGGCCATAGTCGGCTAGGGCCAAACGTTTGCTGCCCCTCTGCGGCATTCTTTCTCTGTCCACCATAGTCTGCACACCGTCAAATTTACTCATTCACATCCGGCCCCCGCAAGCTTCGAGAGCGCGTCCCTATCGCAACACTGCATGGAAAGAAACAACAGCCTAAGGATGGTGAATGCCCACCAGGTAAGCCCACCTTGAAGGAGGACGTTCATGGCCACCCTGCTTTGAGGGAGAGGGCAGGGCACAAAGCTCTGAAAAGATGTGTGATGTTCAGAGCAGAAGATTACAATGTTTCACGGGACATAATTTGTAGACTGCATCAGAGTTACCTAGGTGCTGGTTTTTAAAAAGTTGTCTGTCCTAGCCAACTTGTAGAAAAATAGAGAAGAGGGGCACCTGGGTGGCTCAGTCGGTGAAGCGTCTGCCTTCGGCTCAGGTCATGATCCCAGGGTCCTGGGATCGAGCCCCGCATCGGGCTCCCTGCTCGGCGGG